ATTCGGTTTAGAAGAATGATGCTCAATGGGGGACATGATAAGGGTTTAAAAATACTAAGTGGTGAAGAGAAAGTCAATAGAGATTTATTATTTACCATCCCTTGCAATATAAGAACTAGGGGTTATAAAGCAGAACAAGCAGGTAGTCATTTAAAACCAACCAAAGGAAGTTCTTACTTTGCACCGCACATAATTAAAATGCGGGACTCATTGCCACAAGATAGTCGATTGTTTAACCAGATTCACAAAGACACTGAGCAAATTCTTGTGGGGAAAGGGGCATCAGTCCCTATTGAGCATGGGATTGAGGGATCGGCCTCTGAATCACAACTTCCTAGACCTCAAATGCTGGAGGCTGCATGTGGGACAGGAACAGGGGGAAAAAACCCTGGCCAGGCCGAGTTTAGCACGCACTTTCTTCCGCTATGTGATGTGTGAGACTGGCTAAGATGGACCTAGGGTCTGCCCCAGTCCATGGCAGCTCCCATGTTCCTGCATTTGATAGGATGCAAGCCGGTGTCTCGTTCTTCATGCCGGGCCACGCTCATTTAACTAAATAAAAACTTTATAAGCAGACCTTGACCATGCAAAACGCATCAAAAAAGAGCACGCAGGTGGCAAGAGTGTGAACAAGCCAAAACCCACTGTGCCCCAAGTAAAACAGCACCAATAGCCCCTCTGATAAGAGGCAGGGTTGTAACATTTTCACCTGATTGTCCCCTGATACAAAATCCCTTTCAAAAGTCAATTCTTCCAAAACAAGCCAGTTTGCAAAGGGAAAGAAATAAGATTCAGTCTGTTAAGACGATGCTACTTTTATGACCGAGGACACAACTTTCAGGCACGTGGACTGAATGATTCCTGCGGCTCTGCGAGCCCTACCCCTCTCCTGATCACCAACTGGGAGCTGGCTGCCCTTCCGCAGCCTCTCCTTGGCAGAGCGATGACACCTCTGCGCTGAAATAGGACGGCAAAGTGAGCCTTTCAGCAAGCCGAGGAGGAAATGCAAGGTCCAGAGGGATTTATCAATAAGCAAAATGGCTATTTTCCAAAAGAACCCCCCAAAAATATATATAACATACATAAACCCTTATGTTAAATTGTTTTGTCCCCTCCAGCCTTGCAATGCAAATAAGGCTGACAGCCTGGTACTGTTTGTGATTAGAAATGATTTGTGTTTCCATAGAGATGCTGCACCAGAGTTCGTTAAAATGGATATATGTGCACGCACACAGGACCAATGGCCAATGGAAAAGGCTTTTTATTAGATGCAAAGGCCATGGCAGAGGGAGGAAAAATTTGGAGTTTGTTTTTTTTTGCGCTCTGACTCTTTCACCCTTATTGACAGCATGAAACGGCCTGAGACATGCTGCACTGAGATGCAGCAAAATGGCCTTGGGCTATGGGGACTTGAAACCCAGGTGCCCCCAGGCCGAAGTGGGGACAAGGGGGCCGACACATGCAAGCTGGGTTCACGGTACAGGGCGGTTTGAATACTCTTATGTTGCAAAGAGAGAGTCAAGACTCAATCCAAGGGTTTGCTATTCCTTCCAAATACACCACTAGGGCTAACGCTGAAATTTGGCTTCATGGATATGGAAAATGATTCCTTACCTTGGCTATGGCTGTGTAGGTGGCGATGGTTAGTTGTTTTTTTAATGGGTTTTCCCCGTCTTGCCAAGACCCTGCTCCTATGGTGAGAGCTGCCTCAGCAGAGCCCTGCGCCCACAAGAAGCCATGCAAAAATTTAAATTCCT